AAAGTAGAAATAGTAAATTGAACTGTAATACTAATTTATATACTGTACGTATAGGAAGGTCTGTACAGTTTAGAGCTTCTATCATTAAATAAAAAACATTTGGCCAATGCTCCCTTTTCAATTCCCACCTAACATTTCAACAACTGCAATGATAGCCGATTTATTGTGTTGACCATACAACATTTGTTATTTCTACAGTTTCTTATATTTATTATGCAATGGAGTGGCATTGACATTTTTAAAAATGAAAGTTTAAAATGAAAGCAGTTATAAATAAATAATAAAAGCTAGAAGTCATCTTTTTAATGTCAATTCATCATCATCATCCTAAACTTTTTCCCACAGGTGCAAGGTCTGTTTTTTTTAATGTCAATTATCTATGCACAAATGATTTTCCTATCTGACTGACCCTGGAAGCTAAATAGTGATTGGATGGAAAACTGTAGTACCAAAGGGAATATTGAAGCTGTAGGCTACACTGGGAAGTCAAAAAACATTCCAAAACAATGCAGCAGCAAGACAATGTTGCCAAAAAACAATACAATTGTATCCATACTTCTTGAATTTGAGGACCTATTTTCCTCATGTCTGCAAGGTATCCTCTAATTTAGCTTTTTCACTCTCATGTCGGAAGTACCGAGGCGCTTCTGGGTTGAAAGGACTAGCCAGCAACATCACCGTTGCCAAGGGGATGCCTGGTTGGGAGCTTCTTTCATGTCCCTGTTAAGTTGCCCACTGACATGGTACCCATCTATCTACTCACAGTTGCCCACTTTCCTGCCGAGTCGGCAGGAGCAGGAGGGAGCAAGTGACAGAGCTCAGGGCAGCACAACTGCCCTGCCAGGACTTGAATACAAGCCTGCCAACTGTCAGCCCTGCATCCTAACCATGTGAGCCACTACACTCCTATATTATTTAATTAAGAACAAGTCTATTTGATTAGTTTTCAGTTTTAGTTTGAACAAGCCAAAACTGGTTTGATGCTTAGATATTCTAAGATGTGAGAAAGGGAACTAGGCCAAATCATATTATACTTTAGTGTGATGTATGAATCTAGATATATTGGATCAAAAAGTCCCATTATACATGATCCAAACCTATTTTGTAACCCATCTAGAACAGCAGAAACATATTTGGCATATTGTTTAAAATATACAAGTAAATAGATATTTTTAGTTAGCATGTTCTTCAGTTGTTTTTCTAATGCTCACTTTTAGAACACAAATGATTCAATTATATTTTATGCAAATTATAAGAAGAAAATATGATTATTTATAAATCTCAGAAGCCAGCATTGGAGACCATAAAAGGGGGAATATTTGTGGTTCTTTGGCAGTACTTTAATGGAGACAAATCAGTGCCACAGTTGACCAGAATTCTTTGTCAGCATAGCAAAATCAACTCAGCTCCTCCATGATTTCTCCTCTGAAGATCAATCCAATGTTAGATATCTTCTGAGATTAGAGTCCTCTTTACAACAAGAGATAAAATTTTATAAACCCAATGAGAATAGATAGCAGCCTGTATGTACATTGGAATCACATTTATGTCCCTCCAAGATTAATCTCAGCATTCAGATTTGTTCAGTTGAATTTGCTATATTTTTTCAAAAACCTTAATTTTATGTTGTTGCAATGTAATGAGGGGAAATGTGTTCTGCAACTATTATAGTGAGTAGATCTTCCATGTTTATTTTAACTATTCTGAGATTGAGTATATTTGTACATTTTAGAGGATGACACAGGAATGATTTGCATTTTCTTTTACTTATGTCTTTACTCTATTTTTGAAAATATGGTCTTATTACTGATCTGTGTTTCACATCTTGTATTCTAATATGGCCTAGTGGCTAATCAATAAAGTACTATTGTTGTGTAAATCTGTAATAACAAAGATACAGGTAGTCCTCGTTTAGTGACCACAATTGGGACTGGCAACTCAGTTGTTAAGTGAAATAGTTACTAAGTGAAACTGCGACTGTTCTTATGATCTTACTTCAGCTTTCCTTTGCTTTACAGACCTGCAAAGGTCGAGGCTGTCACTAAACGAGGATCTGTGTTTTGTCTGAATGGAAAAATGTAGTATGGTTTTGAATTGCATTAATGCTACTTAAAAATAAATACCGCTTGCAAAATAAAGAATATAATTTTAACTTAATGTAGATTTTATTTTTAATCTGTGTTCTTTAAAGTATATTAGTCTGGATGCTGTTTTAATTAAATGACACATTCAGAGTCAGCTCAGCATATCTTTTGAATTAAGCCATCCTTTCATGCAGCAATCACATTGTTTCTTTTTTTTGAACATGTATTATTAAATATGCTTGACAAATTTTTTTGATCAGTTTTCTTAGACCAGTTGTTAAACTATCTCGGCTGTAATTTCCTAGACCGCTCTATCCACTACCCACAATTAAGAATTCAAACATGATACAGATAAATTTTCCATGGGCAGATACCTGAATCCAGGCATTTTTTGCCAATAACCCTAGAATACACTTATTATCTCACTCATTTATTTTTTGAAAAATTCAGCTGTTATTTGCCTCACACACACACACACACACACACACACACACACACATCATATATTTTCCCTGGATAAATGTCCATTTATTTTTCTTCACTTCACCTTTAGTTTCCAATTGCTTAAAGTTCAAATTTAGAATGGAAGGATTTATAATCCTTGCAGCAGCTGGTCATTTGCATTATTTTAGAGAGCCACTGATGCTACTTGGAGATTTATCTCTGTCCTCAGGGTCACCTGAGTAGTGCAAATGGGTGTGGAACATTCTTGGAACTGCTGACAGGACTATATTATAAACTGGAGATAGATGATGTCGTATCCCCCCCCCCCGGTTGAAAGAGGGCTGTTCAATTTTGACATAGATGGCTTCTTTCATCCTTTCAAATCAGATTTTGAAAGAAAACCGAGATAAACCTCCAAGTGGCCTCAACAACTCTTTAAAAGAATGCAAATGAACAGCTGTCTGCAAGGAATATAAATCCTTCCATTCCCCACCTTCCAGTCAGAGCTGAAGAAGTTTCTTGGATGAGAAGCAAAATGTTTTCAAAGAAAAACAAGTCCAGCTGCCTCTTGAAAAAGCACCTTTGGGATAACCATGACCTGGATGGCTGAGAATATCCATAGATATTAAAATTAAACCAATACTTGGGCACTAGGCAGCTTGGAAACCTACCCAAATTATAAAAAGCTGCAATGATCACTAAAAATATATCAGGTAGAACACAGAACCCTGAGGACATTCAAGAGAGCTGTCAAAGGCATCAGACTGGAGATTCCAAAATTAAGCTATAAAGAAAAATATTCTTCCTACTGAAAAAGTAAGCATTTGTCATAAGCTCTAATCATACTAGCAAGCAATCCTTAATAAGCTTAATTCTTAAGAATGCAGCTGTCACCATCATCTTCCTCTCATCATGCCATTATTCATGAAACTATGATATTACTTCTATTCTGGAGTTAGGAAAAAAGAATTAAGAGTGGATGTAGGCCTGTGATACCTCCACTAGAAGTAAATACGTTAACATTTCTTGTTGTAACAACCATCTTTCCTGCAGAATACCTGATTATGTATGCTACAAATTAACATATTGTACACTTCAGTCAAGGAAGATCTTACCAAAGAATAGCAAGGAACCTACCATGCTGCTCTAGATACGTCTGGAGTCTGTTGATGAGATCTTGTTTGTTTCCTTTTGCCTCCAATCCTCGGGCTAAACACTCCTGTTTCAACTCCGCAAGCTGTTAAAAGTAGAAAAGATTTAACTTTAATCAAACATGTGATTTCCTACAGACACATAAAAATTAAAGCGAAGCTCTAAAAATCAGCCCAAATCAGCCTCCTTTGAACAAGCGAAAGAGGTGACCTTCAGAGAAACAGGCAAGATTCTGTTACTATATAGCCTATTTCAATAAAGCATAGCTTTTAATTTTCCTGTGGAACTGTCTTCCTGATCTTGTCTACCTGTAGAGTTGGCACTCCTGTAGGCGGACGCTGTGGTTTAAGGATGACTCTCAAATGTTTACATCAACATGACCTTGAAAGAAAAGCATCAGTGGGAGTCTGAAATCAAGAAAACTGAAGAATTTGTTCAAAAAAAATCAATAAAGAAACTCAAGTTGGACCCATCGTTTTAAGATATTAGATCGCAGTAACGATACCATTAATGATTTTCTTAGATTTTCATGCTAACAAGCTGCCCGACAAAGTAGGCAACCCCATAATTTCCCGGACTGTATCCCAAAAAGCTTTACTTGTTTCAACGGTTGAATTAAGCTCAACCTGGAGCAAAGTCACAAAAAAGAAAAAGAAAAAAAAAAGGGGGGGGGAATGACAAAAAGCAACACGTTAGCACGCTTGCAGGCGGCTTACAGTCCCCCAAAGCAAAAGGCTGAAAACAGGAGCGCTGTTCTCTGAAAAGGGAAGAGAAGAACCACGGTGGGAGGGAAAGGCCATCTGCCAAGAAGGATCAGGTCCGGCCCGGGAGACAAGACTCCAGACGCGCGGCGTGAGGAGAATCCCAGCATCCCTTTCCCGCGCTCTCCTAAAGGTTGACAAAGAAGTCCGTCCGCTAACCCACCCACACAAGACAGAAGGCAGCTCCCTCCTACGGTCGAGTGGGAGGAGAAGGCCGAGCGCCGCTTCTCCGGGCCAAACGAAAGCAAACGCTTCTCCTCCGCCCAATGCAGCCTCCATACCTTCAACTTGTGCAGCTCGACCGTCTCCGCCGCCATCTTAGCTTCGCCTCCCTCAACAATCCAACTCCCCGCTCGCAAAAAACACCCCCACACACACACACACACGCGCGACGCCCCCGAGAACGCTCGCCGAGTCCTTGCCCAATCCGAGCCGCGCTCTCACTCGAACGTCTCACCCTTCCGAACGTCGACCCTCGCCATTGGTTGGCGGGTGAGGAACCGGATGGAGAATCAAAAGAGATGCGAAAGGGAAAGCACCAATAGGAAGGAAGCGGCCGGCCGGAGCTGTTGCTGACTGGCGAGGAGGAGGAAGTGGAGACGGGGAGGCGTTAGAAACCGGCCGCGTCGTATCTGCGGGCGGAAAAAGAGGCTGCCTGCCGCGGGTGTTTTCTTCTCGTCGTAGCGGCGGGAGCCGTCGCGGAAGCTGGCAGGTAGGCAACTGATGAGGGCCGCAGCAGAACTGAGGAGGGGAGGGAGGGAGGGAGGATTCCCTGCGAGAAGAGAAAAAAAAAGGATCCTTTAGGCGCAGCGGACCCTTCCACCCCCCCACCTCCCCACCCCAATCTTTTGGGCACCAGGGACCCATTCCGTGGGGAGACGTTTTTCGTGGACCGGAGCGGGCATTGTTTCGCGTGCTGCCTGCATCCCGCAAATGGGGCTTTGCTTGCTTGCGTTGCCCGGTTGCTGGCATGCCGCCGCCCGGTGACAGTCCACAGACCGAGAAGGGGTGGTGGTGGTGGTGGTTGGGGGACGCCTGCACTAGTTGACAGTAATCTTTTACCATGTTCTTTTCCCACAGAAAAAGGCAAGCATTTAAAGTTGAACCGGAGCCTTCAGGACATCACCAGGTCATCCCATAGTGGTGATATAAAGCTGGATGTCATCCTCAGGATCATCATACCCATCAGGGGCCACCAACCTTGGCATCTTTATGACTGGTGGACCTCAATTCCCAGAATTCCATGGCTGCCTGGGGAATTCTGGCAATTGAAGTTGCCAAGGTTGGCCACCCTTGCTTTATTCCATGTTGTAAGGTGGCCTCACTCAGCAGCCTCTTGTAGATGTAAAACAGGAACCGGGAGACCGCCCCCCCCCCCCCGCAAACTTTTGGGCACTAGGGACCAAGAGAGAGGTTTTTCAGCTGACTGTGTGTGTGTGTGTGTGTGTGTGTGTGTGTGTGTGTGTGTGTGGTTTCGCATGCTGCCTGTATCCCGCGGATAGGGTTTTGCTTGTTTCTTCGGCCCGGTTGCTGGCATGACGCAGACCGGTGCCAGTCCATGGACAGGGAGTTGGGGATCAAATGAGCGAGAATGCCCCCTGCTTTACTCTTCCTCTGGGTCTTCTGCACACGGAAGAAAGTTTTCAGTGCGCTTTCTAAAATAACAAAACATAGAATGTTTTCTATGGGTGGGGTAGAATATCCTCCCTTTCCCAGTTTCCAGCCTTTCAGATAGGACGGAGCACAGCCTCCTGACTAGAAGTTGTTGGCCTAACCTCCAGTTGAGGAAGGCTGAGATAAGAAGTGAATGTGAGGGGTCCTTGGTGCTCTCTGTGCTTGCTCGTCCTCTTGCAGACATTTCATTAGCCGAACTAGGTAACATTGTCAATGAAATAATAGAAAATACATGTAGCTCAGGTTTTAGATTGACATTTAACATCAATGCTAGTGAATGTACCAATGCAAGGCATTCTGGTGCTCTGGGTTTCTCGACCTCAGGATTGTCTGTGCTATCAGGCGACCTTCCACAGCTGTTCATATCTAATAAAATAGTCCTTAAATGGAGAATGCCACAGTAGTTTTTTTCTTAAGCAGTTGTGCTGGAGAAGCAGCAATTAAGTCATCATAGGTAGGTGTTTTTAGGTATATGTAGAGTCTTTCTTTACAAGGAAGTCATGATGATTAAATCATTGGGCGATGCATAGTTTTCTTGGTCTGCAGATTCAGGGTGGAAAGAATTTATGTTGTGGTTCCTTTCTATCATAGCAACAGGAAGCTAAGCAAATGATTGCTATCACCATTTGTTTTGTTCTGCCTGGCAGTTATGGCTCTGATAATAAAAGTAAGCGACTCCCTCCTCTGGGCTTGTTCCAGCTGATAGTGAGGAGAGATCTAGCCAGGGGTTCCCAACCTCCGGTCCATGGACCGGCACCGGACTGCAGCATGCCAGAACCCAGGCCATGCAAACAAGCGAAGCCCCATCCACAGAATGCAGGCGACATGCAAAACCATGCCATCTCTGCGGAAAAACCTCTCTCCATGGAATCAGTCCCTAGTGCTCAAAAGATTGGGGGCCGCTGATCTATTCCATTCCTGTTTTACATCTACAAGAGGTTGCTGGATTAGATCATTTTACAGCATGGAATAAAGTAGGGGTGTCCAACCTTGGCAGCTGAAAGACCTGTGGACTTCAATTGCCAGAATTCCCCAGGCAGCCATAGAATTCTGGGAGTTTAGGTCCACGAGTCAAAAAGATGCCATGGTTGGAGACCCCTGGGATAAGGTATGATGATCCTGATGATGATATCCAGCTTTATACTACCACTATGGGCTGATCTATGGGTATATTGTGTATACATGTACAATGACAATAAAGTTATTATTATCTGGTGATGTGAAGGCTCTGGTTCAACTTTAGATGCTTGCCTTTTCTGTGGGAAAAGAACACTGTAAAAGATTACTGTCGACTAGTGTACAAATATTTTAACAGCTTGCCTTGACCCCAGTTTTATGAGGAAATTATGGGATGTGCGAGGATTAACTGAGTGATTCTGAGACAGTATTTTGATTTGGCTCCATACAGTTCAGGTTCGTTCTCCCCCACTCCAAACTACCAAGCTTAAACGGGGCCTGTTCTATGCTTTCTGATTTGCATTCACACACCTATACCAATATATGGGTGTCTACATATATGCACACCAATGTATCTTTTCTCAACAGGATGAATGTTGGAGTAGCCCACAGTGAGATGAATCCCAACACGCGAGTGATGAACAGCCGAGGCATTTGGTTAGCTTACAGCATTTCTGTGGCTGTGCTCCATATCATCTTTCTTAGCATTCCCTTCTTCAGTGTCCCCGTGGTCTGGACTCTAACTAACGTTATCCATAACCTGGTAAGTCTAAACTCTTGATTCCTGGCCAATTTATTGGCCATGTTCTGAGAATTTAGGATACAAATTGACAGCTTTTAATCTTGGGAGCCTCCTGCATGGCCTGCCACAAGTGACCACATTCCAGTCCCACTGCGGTTTCATTCATTGTACAATTTATTTAGGAATATTTTCCCCAAAAATAGTCCTCCCCTAGGTGATTTTGCACATTTACTGAAAAGTGCAAGAAGTCATTATTGTTACCATTGTTTTTGTGGTATTCTTCAGGAAAGTAAGAAAGGGAGATGGACGGTTAAGAACTAGGAAGGAAGGAAGGAGAGAGAGAAAGAAAGAAAGAAAGAAAGAAAGAAAGAAAGAAAGAAAGAAAGAAAGAAAGAAAGAGAAAGAAAAAGATTGTTACTCCTTTTTTTTTTTTTTTTTTTGTTCCTCCCAGGTGATGTATTGGTTTCTCCATACAGTGAAAGGGACTCCCTTTGAAACGCCTGACCAGGGCAAGGATCGCCTACTCACACACTGGGAGCAGATTGACTACGGCACACAATGGACATCCTCCCGCAAATTCTTAAGCATTTCCCCAATCATTCTGTAAGTGTTGGGTATTACTCAGGCCAGTCTTGCTATTAAAATTGCTGCTGTCATTGATTTAATTGTTTTATTAATGTAATTACTTTAATTATTTTTAATCAATAGCAATAGCACTTAGACTTATATACCGCTTGTCAGTGCTTTAAAGCCCTCTCTGAGCGGATTACAATGTCAGCATATTGCCCCCAACAATCTGGCTCCTCATTTTACCAGTCTCGGAAGGATGGAAGGCTGAGTCAACCTCAAGCCTTGTCAGGATCGAACTCCAGGCTATGGGCAGAGTTTGTCTGCAGTACTGCATTCTAACTTCTGCACTACCAGAGCTCTTAATATTGATATTTCTTACATTTTGCAGGTATATGAATTTGGGCCTCCTATTAGCATGTATTATGTAACATGGTCTCCATAGTAATTTGAAATTGGGAGCCTTAGCTCAAAATGATTATCAGCAGTTTACAACTTGATTTTCAGTGCTATTATCTTCTCAACTCTTAATCAAGAATGTACATTTGAAACTGACTTTGAATTTCCCAAGTTTATTGAATCAAAGAAGGCTTCTTGTTTTAAGTCATAAAACTAGTTTTCGCAAGGACTGTATCAACAGAATAACTTGTGCTCTTCCAGACACATTTTTCTCATTCTTCACCACCTTCACAACTGCGAATGGTCGCTGAACAAGGTAGTCATTAAAACAAGGTTACCTGTAATGACTGTATTGCAGAACTCTTTCCATCATTTTTCCTTAAAGGAAAACTAAGTCAAAAAACGAATTGGAGAGACTTGAGTGCATATCTGTAACTAATCAAGTATATTTCTTATCCTTCAGGTACATTTTAACCAGCTTTTATACAAAATATGACCCTGTGCACTTCATAATCAACACCACTTCGCTTCTGAGCGTCCTCTTGCCCAAATTACCCCTGTTCCACGGGGTCCGTCTCTTCGGTATCAACCAGTATTGAAGCAGAAGGGATGTTGGCACTGCTGAGACATTCTTCTTCCAAAGAAAATTAGTTCCAAGAAAGTGTGGGCAAAGCTGTTGTTGCATCACCTTGGACTCTCTGGAATCAGATTTCGCTGGATGAGGCAAGCCGAGCTGCCACTGCTCAAATGACTGAGCAGTATGGAGCATTCTTCAGCATTTCTGGCAAGGAGATCTAAGCCATTTTTCTTGCGGCTAGTCTATACTAGGGGTGGAATTATCTGGTGGAATGAAACAATAGTTGAATTGTCATGCGAATGTGAGTTCTCTAGCTCTCCCATGTAAAAATTCCTGCTTTTGCTCTTTGTAGTGGGGGACTGGAATCCCTTTCTGGAAGGGATTTAATGTTGCTTAAGACCACCTTCCTTTAGTTTGTAAACTTCCCTTTTTTTCAAATGTGGTTGTGCTGCTAAATTTCCAGAGTTTTCCCGCTCAGGAAAAATGAATTAGCCTGCTGTGACAGGTCTCATAGTTACGGTTCTAAGCTGTGTAAATAATATTTTATAAATATTCACATGGTAGGTACGTATTAACATAACTGTTCATTCCAGTTGAATGCAAAGTATAGAGTATTCCCTCTACTCTCTCCCCCCTTTAAAGTAGGTTTTCCGGTTATAAAAAAATAATGTAACACAACATTGAAATGGGAAGATGCAAATTAAATTATACATTTAGTCAGTGTTCTGCATTGCTTTTGTTCTTTTATCAACCCTGTTTATACCAGCCCCATGAAATTATCAACATAAAAAGCTGAAACGATAATGATATGGGCAGATCACTTATTTAATCTGTGTATGAACCTTATTTGTTGTTAGTTTCTATCATAATTCCCCAGCTTGTTAAAAAAAAAGTACTAGAAAAAAGTTCTTATTTTTATAGGGCAGACATCTCTAACCTGCTGTTTATAGGCTACAGGAATCTCATTTTTTGTGAGGTTTCTTCACACATCCATGAAAGCGATCCAATGTTACGTCAAGGGAATTGGTTTAAAGGACAAGATGAATGCTCTGTTTACTGGTATTTCAAATAGCCATCTTTTAAAAAAGCAAGAAAGACAGTCAAAAACAAATAAATAAACTCAAGCTCATAGTTATCAGCAAACACACTTTATAGCAATTTTTTTTCTGATCAAAGTTTGTGCTAAATATTAAAATGGTGGTTTTAAATTTGCTTCAAAACTCCACAAGGGACTGTACTCTATTCTCTCTCATTCCTTATCATTAACTGTGGAAGTAGCCAATAAAAGTGTAAGACTAAAAGCATGCAAGAAGGCGACAAGTCTAAGTAAGAACTAGATGTCACTATTATGTTAGTATGAAAAGCAATCATGTTTGCACCCTCCCAAACTAGATCAGCTTTTATAGGATTATCTAGCAAATCGGTGTTTCTCAATCTGGGCAACTTTAAAACATGTGAACCTCAACTCCCGGAATTCCTCAGCCAGTTGAAATTCACTGTACCAGGGTTGAAAGCCCAAAGGGGAAATATTGACTTTTCAAGGATCTTCCCAATTGGTGTTCCTTCAGCCAGACACATATGGAATGGATAGAATAAAAGCCTAACCTTAACCGTAACAAAGGCATCACTGCTGAAATCATTTTCTATAACATTCTAATTTACTACTAGCCCCTGTATTTTTCCTGGTTTAAAACCTCAAATTGCTGTGGATTGGCGGCTTCTGTCTGTCTTGCTTTGAGCCACCTCTGGAAAACTTGCTCCTTCACATGAGAAAAGAGGCAAAAGGCAGAATAAGGCTGCCCTTTCCTGTTTCATCTCAGCCCATCTTAAAAGCAGAATGTTCCTGCTCTGTCTTCCTGGACTGGCTATTTAGCATTTTGATTATCTCTGCCCATCTTTTAACTCCTATCTTTGGGGATCACATTTCTCTGCATTTAGTATGCCCATGCAACAATCACACTCCTCCTTAGTTGCTCCCCCATTTTGGAACAGTGTTTGCCCGCGCATTCAAATGGCTCCCTGCCTCCTGGTTTTTAGGAACACTTTCAAAAGATAGAGACCTTGGAGGCTGGAATGCTACAATCTGTTCCCTCCAACAATAGAAATGGTCTTTTGCTTGGTGGTTGAATTAAATTCTGGTTTATATCCTACTATGTCCTGTTTTAAGCATTGTAATTATTGCTGTTTTACTCTAATGTGTACTGTATGTTTTTAATCAAATTTACAATAGTTGGGATGTATGCTGCTCAGAGTTTATTAGAGCAGCTTATAAATAAAATTAAACCCAAAGAGAAAATGTTTGGTTCCTTGTATTGCTGTTTTTAACCTCGGCTAACACTTCTCAAATCAGAGAAACAAGACATCTTGGTATGCCTTCAACAATCGGGCATTAATTCTCTGAGTCAGAATACAGAATAACAGAGTTGGAAGGGACCTTGTAGATCATCTAGTCTAAACCTTGCTCAAGCAGGAGACCCTATACCATTTCTGACAAGTAGTCTCCTTCAAAGCCTCCAGTGATGAAGCACCCACAACTTCTGAAGGCAAGCTGTTCCATTGGTTTATTGTTCTCACTGTCAGAAAATTTCTCCTTGTTTCTAGGTTAAATCTCTCAATCAATTTCCATCCATTAGTCCTTGTCTGGCCTTCAGGTGCTTTGGAAAATAGGTTGTCCCCCTCCTCTCTATGACAGCCCTTCAAATGTTGAAACACTATGTCATCCTGGTCCTTCTCTTCATTAGCCATGCCCAGTTCTTGCAACCATTCTTCATATGACCCGAGACTCCTAAACATCTGTGTTGCTCTTATTCACAGTCTTTCTAGTCTCAACATTTTTTTTATAGTGTGGTGACCAAAACTGGATGCAGTATTCTAGGTGTGTCCTTACTTAGGCTTTATAGAGGTGTACTAGTACCTGACATGAGCTTGATTTAATCCCTCTGTTAATGCAATTTAGGATTGCATTGACTTTTTTGGCTGCTGCTGCACACTGCTGGCTCATATTTAATTGTCTACTAGGACTCCTAAGATCCCTCTCACAGTTACTGCTATTAAGCCAGGTTTCACCTAATCTGGTCATGTACTTCTGGTTTTTCTTGCCTACATATAAGACTTCTTTATACTGAATTTCATTTTGTTAGATAGGATCTAGTGTTCAAGTCTGTCAAGATCCATCTAGGGTTTTGGCTATTCCTGCCAATTAGTATCACCTGCAAATTTGATAAATTCCCCTTCTATTCTCTGATCTAAGTCATTTATGAAGATATTGAAGAATACTGGGCCTAAGACAGACCTTGTGGTACCTTATTTCCCTCCATGTAGATGTAGTATCATTAAGGATTACTCATTAAATATGTTTGTCAGCCAGTTACAAATCCATCTGTTGGTGATGTTATCTATCCTACTTTTTTTTAGCTTACCAAGAAGTAGTTGTGGTTTACTTTGTTGAATGTCTTACTGAAGTCTAAGTATACTATGTCCACAGCATTTTGCTAGTCTACTAATTTAGTCACTTTGTCAAAGAATGAAATAAGATTGGTTTGGCATGTTCTGTTATTAACAAACCGGTACTGACTTCTAGTTATAACTTTTGTTTTTAGATGTTCGCAGATATGTTTTTTTGATTATCTTTTCCAGTATCTTCCCAGGTATTGATGTTAGGTTGGTTGGTCTGTAGTTTCGTGGGTTTCTTTGTTTGTTTCCCCTTTTTTGAAGATGGGAACCACATCAGATCTTTTCCAATCTTCAAGTGGTTCCCGGGTGCTCCAGGATTTTTGAAAGATATGGTAGTGTGGTTCTGAGATGACATCTGCCAGCTCCTTTAAAACTCTGGGATGCAATCTGTCAGGTCCCGGTGATTTATATTCATCAAGATCAGGCAGGTGTTCTCTTACCATTTTCTTGCTTACTTTATTTTTTATTTCTAGTCTGTCTTTTACAGTTATGTTTTTGGTAGGTTGGGCTAGTTTCTTTTTGCATGAAGACTGATGCAAAGAATGAGCACTCTGCTTTCTCTCAACTGCCTGTTACTTCCTTGCTATCTTCTCTCTTTAATGGACTGAGTTTTCTTGACTTTTTTCTTATTTACATATTGAAACTTTTTAAAATTATTTTTGACTTTTGATGCAAGTCTGTTTATTCTGAGCCTTTGCTTTCTTGACTTCATTTTCGTAGATATTAACTGCTGATATTCTGCCTTAGTTATGTGTCCCCACCCCTTTCCATTTTTGTACTTATCCTTTTTGTCTTTCAGTTTATCAGAGATTTTTGTGCAACCATGTTGGTTTCTTCTTGAATTTCTTGTTTTTCTTTTTCAGTTATATTGTGCTGGACTGGGCTTCTATGATCATATTTTTCAGATTTCCCAAGCTGGGTTGTTTTCCCCTTTAGGATTTTCATCCAAGGAATCTTCCCCAAGCTCTGAGTTTGTTAAAATAAACTCTTAAAATCTAAGGCTCTGGTATGATTATGTTTTATTGCTTGTGTTTGCATTATATTGAGTTCCAGTATGACATGGTCACTCTCACCCCAAAGTTTCTGTAATTTCAACTCCCTCTATCACTTCTCTGTTAGTAAGAATTAAGTCCAGTATTGCTGTTCCTCTAGTTCCCTCATCTACCTTTTGGGTAACAAAGTTGTCAGCTAGGTTGGTCCCAAGGTCCAATACAGTTCCTGTCATTAAACAATTCTCTGGATGTAGTTTCTCTTTCTTTATATGTAGTCTACCTGAAATCACACTTTTTCAGTGGATGAAATAAGTCTTTGGCCTCTTTCATCCACTGCCACACAGCATAGTACCAAAAAAGGAGAATATTTGTAGCTTGGGGTTGAAATGAAGGATCCTTGGTGCTCTCTGAGCTTGGTTGATATCTTGCATCAGCACTGATGATGTTACCTAATTTTGGTACTGAAACGTCTGCAAAGAAACAGCCAAGTTTAGAGAGCACTAAGGGCCCCTCACACAAATAGTCTATATGCAGTAGGAATCTGTGGCCCGTCTTCTCTAAAGCATACCAAAGGTATAGCACTCCCATTCTGCAATGCTCCAATGGGATTCTCTCTCTGTTAACATTTTGCTAAGTACAAAACCAGATATTGGATGGTCAGTTCCTGTTTCAGTTAGAGCCATTCCAATGCCTCTTTCCAACACAGCTATTGTTATGGTGAATAGCTTTAAGTGGGGCTTTCCCAAATGATGGCATGACCCTCTACTGAGGAGGTGTCCACAGAATCCAGGGGAGTGTGAGGGACCTTTTAGTTGTACATTATTACAATAAATCCATCTTTCCAAAAACTATATTGTATTGTTTTCATTGTTTATTTTGGTGTTCATATTTTTGGGGAGGTACTAGGTACTGTGCTGTGTTGGATTCTCCTTTCAGAGCTATTTCCTTACCACAGGAGTCCCCAACCCCCAGGTCTGCAGACCAGTACTGTCCGCGGCTCATTGGGAACCAGGCCGCAAAAGTAGCAGGTGAGCACACAAAGCTTCACTTCCAAAATCATCCCCTCCCCCATGCTGCTGCTGCTGCTACTGCTACTGCCAGTCCAAGGACCCACAAAGGTCGGGGACTGCTGCCTTACCAGATTCCTCATTGCCTTCAACAGTGACAAAGCTTCTAATGTACTTTCTTCCCTGGAAGAAAGATTCCCAATATTCAGAGATGCATCTTGCCTTGAAAATAGCCCATGTTGAACTGTATAGCACCGTCAAACAGCACAGGAAATGTTTTATGACATTTTGCATTATTATTATTATTATTATTATTATTATTATTATTATTATTATTATTATTATTATTATTATTTAATCCTTAGTGAGATTCACAGCCTTTGAGGCTGATTAATAGCTCAGCAGCTCGAGTCCTAACCAAGGACCTAGGAACTGTTAAGGTATCGTCAGAGGATGTAAGCTGATCCGAGTAAGGTGGTTTTTTGTACAGTCAAAATGTTCAAGTCCGGCAAATTTAAAATTTCTAAATAGCGGGGTAGCCCTTTGGGTATTGCTCCAAGGGCTCCAATTACAATCGGGACAACACACGATTTCTTTTTCCACAGTCGCTCAACTTCAATTTGCAAGTCCCGGTACTTTGTAATTTTTTCTTGCTGCTTATCTTCAATCCGTGCATCACCAGGTATTGCAATGTCAATGAACCATACTTTTTTCTTTTCAACTATTGTTATGTCAGGTGTGTTGTGGACCAAGTGCCTGTCAGTCTGAATCCTAAAGTCCCACAAGATCTTGAGTTTCTCATTCTCTAAAACTTTCTCAACCTGATGTTCCCAGTGGTTTTTGCTGTACTCAAATCCAAACTTCTGGCACAATTTCCAGTGAATGATCTTAGCAACACGGTCATGGCGTTGTAGGTAGTCAGTTTGTGAAATTTTGCTGCACCCACTGATCAGGTGGTCGACTGTCTCATCTTTCTCGTTGCAGAGGCGGCATTTGCTATTGGTGGTAACATGTTGAATTTTTGCCTTCATGCAGTTTGTGGCTAGGGCTTGTTCTTGAGCTGCCAAAATAAAGCTTTCTGTTTCTTTTTTCAGTACTCCTGATCTTAACCAGTTCCAAGTTAGTTTCTGGTCAGCTTTGCCTTCAATACTTTTCAAGTATTGGCAATGCAGAGTTTTGCTTTTCCGATTTTCAGCTCGCTGCTCAATTACTTCTTTCTTATATTCTGCTTTTGTTTTAGTTGTCTTTAAAAGGCCTCCTTTATTTACTTCCTTAATCATTGGTTCTTCATTTTTCTGGATGTAATCATTAAAGCTATGTTTTTCTTCTTCCACAGTCTGCTTTACTTATTTATTTATTTATTTATTTATTATTATTATTATTTAGTCATATTTCTATGCTGCCCACTCTCCGAGGACTCTGGGCAGCTTATACCAAAGACAGTATACTAAATAGCATATTGCCCCCAACAATCTGGGTCCTCATTTTACTCACCTCGGAAGGATGGAAGGCTGAGTCAACCTTGAGCCGGTGAGATTTGATCCACTGATCTGCTGAACTAGCAGTCAGCTGAAGTAGCTGCAGTACTGCACTCTAACCACTGCGCCACCTTGGCTCTATGCCATAAACTTTTATAATTTTATGTCGTATCATAAAAATGTTTTATAAAATTTGCCTAATTTCAATTCCCCCGGATTTTAGGTACCAGATTTTGGATGCATTCTGTCAATTAGCCCATTTGAGCTACCCTGATTCAAAACGTTTTGCCCAATGGTATCCCATTTCACTGTTGAGAGTTTACCGTAGGATATAGGTGTACATTGACATTACACAAAGGGAGGTGT